GAGAAAATGAAAAAGCTTCGATATCAACGCCTTGTGATGACGGCTCAGAAGGAAAAGACGGAGTATTCCATGTCCCTATCCAACGTGAATGGAATTCGATACTACCCGACAAATTCAAATGATTAATTCACACCGTTTGACGCGGAAGAGCTCGCCTATTCAGCACTTGATTTATTTTCAACGTCTCATTTGGGTATGATCTCTGGAAACGAGGCTTTAATGGATGCGGTCATTCGTTGGCCACCCTTTCGCGGTCGGCCTTCGGTTCGGTACCGACGGCCAGCAGGAGCATCTTGGCGGAGATGAATAGAAAATTTATTCTCAGCACTTCTTCGATGATGACACCGAAGATCTGTCAATCGGAACCCTTCTGGATGAAAACAAAAAGACGAGGAGTTTTAGTCGACAGTTTTGTCAAAACGCTTCCGTAACAAGGCTGAATTGCAGAGTCCTGTTCAGAGGAGTTCATTCTAGCAACATGCCATAATAATCTTCTCTTCGATTCCTGAGTCTGGGGGTCGCTACCATCCAAACTTGGAACAGATTGAAAATGCGCGTGTGACAAGCTGAACACTTTCGTAAAGAAGAAAGCTGAGAGAAGCCAACCGGACGACATCTAGAATCACTGGGAACGCGACTCCCGAATCCGAGCGGTTTCAAAGGATATTTTTCTTTCGGAAGGATGATGAGCTCCAAGCCATCTTGGAATACCTCCTCCGCAATGACAAATCGAGCTACCACCTATTGAAAGATCAGGATGGAGCTAAGAGGATACGGATCCAAACTACTGTGCGCTACCACAGAAGGGTTTCTGTCATGCCCACCGGAGATTTGCTTTCGGACTCAAAATAATCCACAGCATTAATTGACTCCGGCGTCATATTGGCGAAACAAGCCGATTCAAGACGACCTAACTCCATTGGAATACCGAGTATAAACTGTTATCCCCAACTCAGTGGGTGACCGAACTAATAACTGTTTCCCCACACTCCAAAGAGCATATGAGTTATTAACTGCTTCTCGATTATCCAACTGAGTACAATGTTACACCACTTTGTAAGAAAGCTGGGGTGGATCAATTCATGTACGGAAGTTCCAGAAATGTTAAATGTAATATCTTTAGGGATAACCGATCATTATGAACAAAGGTGATAACACTAAACTCCTACTATTGACTTCTGAATTACTCTTTTTTGGCTGAGATGAATCGATCACCGCTTCTAGTCAATAATTCCCTCACAAAATTCCATGTGTTGGGTCAAACTTTAAACAGTTAGACAAAGCCAAAATCCCCTTCTTCGACTCGTTCCATGAACGAGAGGTCCACAACTTGAACGGATCAAACTTTTAAACAGTTGGGATCGTCTCAAAACTCACACTTGGTTCAAACGCTATACTACAGTTAGGACCACAGCCAAACGTCTCTTCCTCGTTCATTCCCACCAACGAGAGGTACTTTAGTTGAATAATCAAACTTATGACAGTTAGGATTATTCAAACCCGTCCGAATTCTCTAGTGGATATCCCACTTTGAGTTTTCTTTACGATCAGGATATAGAATATAAAATTCGTCCTCTCTGATCTGGGTTATCTCTACAAAAAACATAGAGATCAGGAGAGTAGAATATAAATTCTTCCTCCTCCAATTCCTGGTTCTTCTCTACCAACAAACAGAGACCAGGAGATAGAGATATAAAATTCTTCCCCCCCCTTCTTCTTCTCGATTCGGTTATCTCTACCAACAAACAAGAGGACATGAGATAGAAATAAAATTCTTCCTCTTCATCATCGGGTTTATCTCTACCAACAAACAACTGGACCAGTGGATAGAATATAAAAATTCTTCCTCTCCATTATCGCGTGTTTAGATCTCTACCAACAAACAAGAGACCAGAATACTCCAATAGGTATACGAGTCTAAACTATTTCCTAATCATAAACAGGAAGTTTCTAGAGAATATTACTCAAATATTCTTAAGATAACCTAGTTACCTCATAACGGGTATATGAGGTTAAACTACTTCCCGAACACTCGACTGAGTATATGAGTTATTAAACTGCATCTCCTTGAACCTCCAACGGGTACATGAGGTTAAACTGTTCCCGAACACTCCAATAGAAGCATTGAGCTTATAAACTATTTCTCCATTCTTCAACAACAGGTCTGCATTCAAGACCTTCGACGACGGGCACGCGATAAACGCAGCACCGGAGGATCTTAGCTATTCTACAAAGCATTGAGTAGATAGACTAAGAGATAAAGAAGTCAAGGATTGAAGCCATTCCCAGACCATTCTAGCAATTTCCTCAACAAAGAACTGTCTCGAGATGGACAGGGAAGCTATCATATCCAAAGCTATCCCGACTCCTCTCTAAAGAAATGAATGAGTTCTGAGATCTTTGGAGGGGTATCTGTAGCCGTCAAAAATGCTTTACAGAAATTCAAACACCACTCAAGCACGATATAGCAAGAATAATATACACGTCATCAAGCACATATGCGGCGCTGGCCAGGATATGTGCCGCGGCTACTTTGGCGCGGCCCCAGGCACCAAGTTGCCGCGTAAGGCGCCGGAGACCAGGTACCGCGGCTAAAGGCGCGCAGCCGTATTGGTGTCGCGGTTAACGCTGCCACCTATGCTGCCGCGGGCAGTTAAAGAGGATGCCCTACAGAGTTATAATGACAGTTATCTGATGATTATTTAAAGTCCACGATGGCTGGGTAATCAGAATAGAATGGTGTGCTGATGTGGAAAAGCAGATTAAACCACGAAAAGGTGGTTAACGGTAGTGCGTCCGAGGAACTGTTTCAAGACAACGTATGAACGTGGGTGTAACTGCCCTTTAGCCGCGGCAGTTTTTATTTTTTTTTGGTCGTGGAAAACTGCCGCGCCTTTTAGGCGCGGCATGTCGATGCCGCGCTCTTCGCGCGACAGTGTCGACTGTCGCCGCCCCTTTAGCCCGCGACAGCTCAGTACCGAGCCTAAAGAGTACAGTTAACTTGACGGCCTATTTTTCAGTTATCGTCTTTAAGGAGGCTTAAATACTCCCCCTATGGTCATCATGGACAAGGCTCTGAGCATTATCCAAAGCAGATTACGATCCAGAGAGCCTTGAGTTTTGGTGAATTGAGCAAAGAGAGAGTCTTTCTTCTTTCACAAAACATCCTCAATGAGCTTTTGCCATTCCTAGAGATCTCAAGCTAAGACTTGATCTTTGGAGGTGAACATCTGATACATCGATAGATATTCGCTTCAATTCTTACGTTCGATAAACAAGGAGGAATCTTAAACCCCTTCACGCGTTCAAGCAGAATCTGTGATTTGGTCGTCACGAGTCAAAGCCGCTCCCGGCACAGTGCAAAGAATCTCACGCAAGCATCGATCCAAAACAACGATCCTGCGTTTGTTTCTAAAAAAGTTTGTAATTTTTCTTTTGTTGTGCTAAAAGAAGTCTTTATAAAACGTGGAGGGGGCTTAAAACATTAAAGCCCATTTTTTGGGGCTATTCCACATGGGGCAAAGTACAAGGGAGCTAGTCACACGAAGTTCCCACTTTTGGGGCCTGGACACATTTTTCCCTTTTTAATAACAATCCGGTAATTTAAGCCTTTTCCAAAAACAAGCTTTCCATTTTCCAAATATATCTTATCTCCAGTATCCCCTCTTCTTTCTTCTTCTTCTCTAAACTCTCCCCATCGCCATGGAAGCTGTCCCCTCCTCAGCCTTCGCCTTCGCTTCCCGCCACATCCCATGCCACGTGGCGCTCTGTGGTTCGAGAACCACCCTTAGGCCGAGGTCTCCCTCCAATTTGTCTTCTCCTTGGACTGGTTCCGGCCTCTCCATTGCATCCTCTCGCAAGGACATCTTTACTGTAAGCTCCTTCAACTTCAATTTAAGATTAGAACTTGTGCAATTACTGATATGGGTTTGGAATCTTTTCGATGCTAGAGGGAAGTATTGAGTTGGGTCAATTTAAAATCGAGAAATTTTGGCAGAAAGAGATTGTTTAGCGTGAGGGCTGAGATGTTTGGGCAATTGACAAGTGGGTTAGAAGCAGCTTGGAGCAAACTCAAAGGAGAAGGTCTCTTCTTTCCTTTGCTGTGTCTCACATTTTATTTGTGATTTCTAGTTCATAATGCAGTTCAAAGAGTATGTTTTCTTGAATTTTTTTCCTGGGAAATTCCATACTTGCAATTAACCTGTTTCATTACATTATTGAAATCAATGCGATGAAAGAATGTTTGAGTTTCTGTTTTATGATAAATGTGAGGTTCTCATTTTCAGTCAGAATTGGTGATTATTTTGTGGATGGCGATAAAGGAAGTTTCTGGGATTTAATCGTTTTAACGATATTCTGATGTTCTAGATATCTTGACAAAGGAGAACATTGCTGAACCAATGAAGGACATTAGGAGGGCTCTCTTGGAAGCAGATGTGAGTTGGTTATTGTTCATAATAAACACTTTTTTGTTATTGTAGTTCTTCCTTAAAAATAAAAAGATTATCAGGTGCATTGGTTTCTGTTAGTAAGTTGGTTATGAGTTTTAATACACCCCATTTGGACAGGTAAGTTTGCCAGTAGTGCGAAGATTTGTGGATGTGGTTAGTGAACGAGCTGTTGGTACTGGGCTGATTCGAGGGGTGAGACCTGATCAACAACTTGTGAAGGTAAAAGTGAATATAACCATGAACTATTTCATTAGTTATGTAGATGTCTGACTTCTTTTCATGATTTTTCCCTTGAAGTTTGTTCATGGAAATAGTGTAACTATAATCTATACCATATGTCTGTTGCATACAAAGAAATGACATATTCTAAGTATATTGACTGCAATAAGGACCCTGGTAACTGACACTTGCTTCAACACGAGTCAAGTCCTATTTAAAAGGCTTTGACATATTAATCACCATGAGCTCACATAGAGTCAGATCATGAGTTTTGCTAATAGACCTTCTTGTCCAAAGTAACTACAAAGCTGTTGCTAGCAGCACCGATGATTAACATCTCAAACCCTTTTATTTTTGATAAAAAGTAGATACGTTATTAGGACAGTAGCAAGTAGACAGATATATGAGGAGAGTTAAGCTTGACCTTGCATAACTGAACACTTTTGGCATTGAGATATAGAAAAATGCCAAATCAATTCCTTTGTCTTTTCCATTCACTTCTAGAAGTTCTAGCTTTATTGTGGCAGAGATTGTATTAATTCTAATATCCTTTGTCTTTTCCATTCACTTCTAGAAGTTCTAGCTTTATTGTGGCAGAGATTGTATTAATTCTAATACTTTTATATATTGCAGATTGTAAATGAAAGTTCTAGCTTTATTGTGGCAGAGATTGTATTAATTCTAATACTTTTATATATTGCAGATTGTAAATGACGAACTTGTGAAATTGATGGGTGGAGAAGTGTCTGATCTTGTATTCACGAAGTCTGGTCCAACAGTAATAGTACTTGCAGGCTTACAAGGTGTTGGAAAGACCACAGTTTGTGCCAAGCTTGCCTTTTACCTAAAGAAGATGGTACAGTCGGAGGCCCTTTTATCCACATTTTAGTACAGTCCGAAGCCCTCCATTCTATTGATACTAATAGAGATGACACAGATTACAGGGGAAAAGTTGCATGTTGGTTGCTGGAGATGTGTACAGGCCTGCAGCTATAGACCAACTCTCAATTTTGGGTGAAAAGGTATATTGCTATGATCTCAGTAGGATTTTATCTGATTCTAAAAGAAGAAAAAAAATCCAATTATGGTGTTTTTTTATTATATATCAACCTTTTAGTATTGATTTATGTTCTACTTATCTTTATTATCATTTTTTGTGAAGGGCAGTATTTTCTTTATCATGAAAAGGTAGTTAGACACATAAGAGTTGACATAAGAGTTGTGAATTGCATATTTGCTTCTTTTGTTTCCCTTTTCTGACAAGTGATAAAGCCTCATGTTTCGTCCAACATTCTTGAGATACGCTATCACTGATTTACTCCTTTTTATTGATTCAGTTGTTATCATTCATTCTATAGAGTCTATCTGTTTCCTCTTTTGCATGCCTTCTTTGTATTATCTGATTTCTTTTCACACTGTGTTTTCCCCTTCTTTTTCATGTGACAGATAGGTGTGCCTGTTTATAAAGAAGGAACTCAAGTAAAGCCTTCACAAATTGCTAAAAATGGTCTTGAAGAAGCCAAAAAGAAGAAAATCGACGTTGTCATAGTGGATACCGCAGGAAGACTGCAGGTTCTCTTAGAAGCTGAAATTATATATTCATAGATATCTCCATTCAGTTGTAGATCTTTATTACATCAATATGTAGTCTGGCTTTTATAGATTGACTCTGGTAGTATTAATTATAGTTGTATCTTGTGTCGTCGCTGTCTGCTTCTGGGTATCAAACTTTTATATGCTTTCGGCACTGAAAATTTATTTTTCTTTTGATTCAGATAGATAAACCAATGATGGAGGAGCTGAAGGAGGTAAAGAAGGCTGTAAATCCAACAGAATTGTTGCTTGTGGTTGATGCAATGACTGGTCAGGAAGCTGCAGGTATTATTAATACATTTACCAATTCAAACAAGTATTGTGATAAAATATTTTCTAAGCTGTATTATGCTGCAATATGTTTTAGTTTGTTGTTCTTATTGTAAGCCAACATTTCTTATTGTAAAAGTAGTAAGGATTAAGGATTTGTGTACATGAGCAACTGAAATTATTATATATGTTTATGTTATGGAGGTTTATCTGTTATACATGTATTGTTCCAGAGTAGTTTGTTCAGTTGTTTTACATTTTAGTATTTGCACTTAATAGTATGAACTATTTGCTTGTTTTCTCTCAGCTTTGACCACAGAATTCAGTACTGACATTGGTATTACCGGTGCTGTACTAACAAAGTTGGATGGTGATTCAAGAGGAGGAGCAGCTTTGAGTGTCAGAGAGGTATTTCTTTCATTATACATGAGGAGTTTTTCATCTTATGCTAGGCATATTAAAAGAATAGTTTTTCATGAAATAGGTTTGTATAAATCCAGATATATAAAAAGTGCACATGCCCCTATACCCCTGCCACTCTATATCTTCAGTAGCACTTACCACCTCTCAACCTCTCAACTCATGTAGTCACATTTATCACCCCTAAGTATATCCGTTCTCAAAATGCCAACCCAGACACAAGAAGTGCTAATGAATGAGTTGATGAGCAATAATTCCCTCTAAACACATAGATGATGGGGTTATCTACAATTTACGATTTGTTTAACTTGCCGTTTTAGGTATCAGGAAAGCCGATTAAGCTTGTTGGTCGAGGGGAACGCATGGAAGACCTCGAACCTTTCTACCCTGATCGTATGGCAGGACGTATCTTGGGCATGGGAGATGTTCTCTCTTTTGTGGAGAAAGCACAGGAAGTTGTGAGTATCCACAAAATTTCTTCCCTTCTTTGTTATACCATGCTTCCTAATGTATCGTGGGCCAAATTATGCGAGTAGATGAAACAAGAAGATGCTGAGAAACTGCAAGAAAAGATAAAGGGTGCAAAATTTGACTTCAACGATTTTCTGAAGCAAACTCGTGCTGTTGCTCAAATGGGTTCAATGAGCCGTGTAATTGGAATGATCCCAGGCATGGGAAAGGTATGTGTCGTCTCTAACATTGTTTTTAAATTGGAAATGAGAACTAAACTTTTTGTTTATTGTTGACACAGGTGACTCCAGCTCAAATCCGTGAAGCGGAGAAAAACATAAAAATTATGGAATCAATGATTAATGTTATGACCCCAGGTAATT